CGCAAATGGCCAGCGCTGTGTCACTTAGCAATCACACCGGCAAACTGCTAGGTGATACATTGGTTTGGATCTTGCATTTATTGTCTTCCTACCCTGCAGTATATTCAACTGTTAAATCGCATAATTGAAACAGAAAATAAACATTTAACAGTATCCATTTTAACTAGTATCCTGGTCATATTTGTGCTGCTCCAAACTTCCCGTAGACAAATTTAGAAAATTGTCAAGCCACTACAAAGTCACTTTTTATGCATTTTCCCTTATAAAGTTAGTGTCTATGCTACTTTTGACTTTTTTAGTCTTGTAAAGTACAAATAAACTTAATGGAGGTAAGTAAAATTGGCGCCATCATCCTGTTTTGTAGACCTTTTGCTACGATGCCCAGGATGAGTTATTTAACGCTACATAAAAATATCACTTCAATTTCAATCAGCGGTATAAGTACACCTGGAAATGTATGCTTTCTTCAATCCCATTAAAAAGGAATGCTACCAAGCAGACCAATCACAGTTCTTGCANTTTCAATCAGCGGTATAAGTACACCTGGAAATGTATGCTTTCTTCAATCCCATTAAAAAGGAATGCTACCAAGCAGACCAATCACAGTTCTTGCAGTCTACGTTGCCGCAACATGTAGTTACATTTCTGGGGAGGTGCACGTCAGGCTACAGCGAGGGATACCCCATAAAGTCCACGGCAATGCCAGTTCGACACAGAAGTATGAATCAGCCTTATGTCCACACTTTTTACCCCATAATAATTCACCCCACGGAAGCCTCACCCGCTGTGTGCGATTGCTGGAATTAAGCATCCCGTTAACCTGAATTTCAATTTGTTTGTGAGAAGACCCACCCATAATTTCAGTCCCTTAATAAGCTCCGTCCACCTTAAAATCCCACTTATGGTACAGTGCTCCTCCTCCAGCCTGTCTACATCACAGAGACACCATGAGAAGTTGGCTGAAGAGAGGGCAGCCTCATATCTCCTAATCTTCTGCAGAAGGAGGTAGATTATGGCGTGATTCCACTAGCAGGAGCACAGCAAGCAAAAGCTTGTTATACTGGGATAGGATAAGGAGGAACAATATAGCGTTTGGAAATAAACACATTGAGCATAACACATGTGCACGTACGTTAAATACTGTTTACAATTCAGATGTGGAAAGCAGAAAGTGGTTTATGTCATTATGAGTGTAATTTCAGTACTGAGATTACAGCAAATTACAGGTTCTGGTAATGTATGGTTTCAGATGTTTCCTTCCGGGAGTTGAATCCAAAAATCTGTGACAGGTCGAGTGACTGAGCGACAGCGAGAGGCTGAGCTCCTTCTTTGCTTTTGCCGGTATATCAGATGGGAGGTGATTGTGCTGATATCCCATGAGCCTCATCCTCTTTCCCTCTCAGGGACGTGGTGCTGAAGCTGCTCCAGTTCGAGGCCTCCACCAATGTGGCTGACAGCAAGGGCTGCTTCCCGCTGCACTTGGCCGCCTGGAAGGGTGACGTGGAGATCGTGCGCATCCTCATCCGCCATGGTCCCTCCCACTGCAGGGTCAATGAGCAGGTGGGCGGGCTGAGGGAGACACACCCAGCCTCATAAAATATAAGCTCAGGTTCTCTGTTTATATGTTGGGAAATAAGCTCAGGTCCTTTGCCCGGAGGTGCTGGCAGTGGCCTTGGCAGCAGTGTGGCCCGTGCAATTTTTCATAAGTGTAATAGGCAGTACTGTCCTGTTCCACCCGCTAATGACCAGCTTAATCCCTGTAGCAATTAAATTAAATACACTCC